CATTTGGGGCTTTGTATAGGGGATGGTTCAAATACAAAGAATTATTCTCATGCAAAGTGAGAATGAATCTTGTGCATTCATTTCCACATCTAATGCCTCAAAATGAGACAAAAATGCACTAAATTCGACCAAAATCGTGGTGGCATTTTCGTAAATAAACCACACTTCTTCTTCTTCTTCTTCTATTTTAAAAAGTGCATTCTCTATTTGTTCTTTAATTTGGGCAGTTTTTTTACCCAGTACCATGCTTTTAGGGCGGATGAATACATCATATATGTGTAATGCCATTGATATTATTACTCCATATTTTGTACACAAATCAACTTTAATCACACTATTTTTATTGGAGTTGAGAAATACTTCCATATTCTCCAATACATGCCCCCTATAGGATTTGGTACAACTTTAAGAGGAAAATTATAGGAGTAATGTAAAAGGTGTAGTGAGTTGTGTTTAAATGAAAAAGTAAGAAAGGAAATGAAAAAGTAAGAAAGAGAATGAAAAAATAGGAAAGAGAATGAAAAAATAGGAAAGAGAATGAAAAAATGGGAATATAGTTATTGAAAAAACTTTCTAAAAGTGAAAAAGGGTGAATTTATTAAAGAACATAACATCCCAAAATAAAAACGGGGACAAGTATTAGAGAAAGAAGAGATATAATGAACTTTGATACGGAGTAATTTTTGTGGGATGGAAGGACTATAAATAAGGAAGGGCAGGAGTATAATTATTTTTTCACTTATTATAGGTCATGGCAGAAATCCCTAACACACCACCTGCTATATTCATTTCGCTCATGGCTCATAAATACCAGCCATATTCTGCCGGATGTTAGAGCTCGTCTCTATCCGAATTTGATTTTTATAATGATAAGTTTGGAGCTGCATTTTTTTTATAGAATTACATTTACTTATATGAAGTTGCAAAATTATCTCACATTTCGATCAATACTCAAAATAATGTATATCTATTTATCAATGCATATTAGAATATAATTGCAAAAAGAAAATGTTTCTCTAGTCTTGCTCAACAAATTTAATTGGGTTATAACTTACTGGTTGTGTAGAAAGTTAGATCGCCTTGAGATGTTCAAATTTAATAATTGTCAACAAAGTTTTTCGTGTACAAATGACACACTATTTTGTCCTTGAAATTTAACATTTTTATGCTTAAATTGTTTTTGTCCGAGTGTAAAATTAACAAATTCATCAACTCCATTAGGGAAAAACTTTATTCCTACATTGATATTGATTACTTAAACTTGAAATATGTTCAAAGAGCTACATACATGAAATTAAATAATAAGAAAAGAATTAATTAACTTTAATGATACAATTATTTCACGACATAAATATCTACTATTTACATAGAATGATTCATTATAACAAGTGTAATTCTTTTAATTAACTAATACAATAATCTATATATTTAATTTAATTTAATATGTACTACAGAAAAACAATCATTGAACTAAATTAACATGTCTTATTTGGAAAACGTCTTTGTTGGCTCAATAAAATCACATACTTTCGCCATTTGAATGACTCCATAAACACATTATAATATTCTATATATACTACGTCGTATAATACTACACGTCATATGAATGGTATGAAACTAACTCAATGGAATGTATATATAGATAAAATTGACATGGATTTTATCACAGATTTTCAACGGTATTATTCCTAACATCACTTTTGTTGAGGATTCATAATGGTAATATTTCCAAAGATACTTTCATCACATATTAGTCACGGAAAGCTAAACGTCCAAAATTTGTCATGGCTATAGTGCGTGACAAACTTGAGAAAACAGTTTTTCATAAATTCGTCGAGGACAATATCTATATAAATTTATTTGCTAAACTTTTGTCACGGATATGCTTGGTGACAAATTCCAACAACTACTTTCAAACACATTTTATGTCAGGGATTACAAATACAATTTCACTTTCCGATTGAAGTGCACCTAACTGACGATCGTTTATATGAATCGTGAGAGTTATTGTCACGGAATAGTACTCTCTGACAAATTTTGTTAGAGATTATTATTTCGTGACGAAACATGCTGGATCGATTTTGTATTGTTATCGCTAACAAATCCATGACAAGCTTTTCGGGAAGCAAATCCCTTAATAATATCCATACAAATAGGGTTGTTTTTGTACTGATCGGTCAGACGATCCACTAATCATAATATTATCTCAAATAAAAATATATCACACAAGTATATACTAAATATCGGATGTGATATTCTTAATCTCTCAACTCAAATCACACTAGGCAACTTCACACACTCATAAACGAGTCAAATTAGTCCTCAACATGCTATTCAAAGTTGTCTAAGAATACAAAGTTGTGAATGGGGGGTCAAACAAAATATAAATCACATAAATTGACTCCAACTCATTCTAACATCACAATTAAAGTACACTTCAGTAACTTCAATAACTAAAGTAGACTTCAATATACAACTTATACCGTGAATCAGAAGCACATATTTCATGTACCGTAGTATTTAGTTTTTTCTCTTATTTTTTCTCTTCTTAAAATAGTCAAAGTTTTATTCATTTAACGTATCCCTAATTTTCATTCATCCCATTCTCACAATATAGGAACTTAAGAAGCTATGCTCGCCTTGTTGCCAAGAATCGAAAGACGCATTTTTAATTCATTTTTGAAATACAAATCTAACTTTTTAAAAAGTTAATTTAAAAATTGGTGAACTTTACGTTAATTTTAAGGTTTAAAGATTTCGTTGGGATTGGTAAAGTTAACGAACTAAGATGACTGTGATGGCTACGCCGAAATCCCACTAGCAGTATATAGAAAGAAGACAGAGCTACTAAGTTAGAGAGAGGGAGTATAGCATCGATCAATATTTGAACGGTTACATTTGTCCAAAGAAGGTTATATATACTAATCATAAATGCTAAGTTTGTTAAAGGTACGTACACGTGTAAGCTGTAGTAATAAAACTTTGGCATCACAAGTGTTAGCGCAAAAACTTTGGCCGCAAATAATAGTTTTTGTTGTAGTGTATAATCTATGGCGGGGAGCTCAATACTAAGGCAGGGATGGGCACATGGTGGTGCATTACATGCTCCCATTGAGTGTCCGAGAAGATCGGTCGAGTGTCCTGAAGACAAGGCTGAGGGCACATGCCAAGGGGCTATATGAACGACGACTTCTTTTCATGTTAGTTTTGTCAGTAGCCCATTTTATATGTTGTTGTGGACTTGTGGCCCATGGTTACCAAAGGCCTATCCAAGGAGTGGTTGCTTGCTTGTTGGGCTTCTTGCATTGTGGCCTTTTGGCCTGTTTCTGTGAGTATGATGAGTATATGGGCTGGGGGCCTGACACCATATACTCAAGTAGAGAACTGAGAAATAAGTTTTATTGTCTAAAAAAATGAAAAATATCGCAAAAGACTTATACCTTGATTTGGTCAATCAAACGTTTGTTTTAGCCAAACAATGTCTCGCTTGTCTTTTATCTTTATAAAGAGTAAAACAAAATCATTTTAACATTTTTGTAATGACTAAGATGATAACTTTCTTGTTTATTTGTATTATAAATTATATAAAACAACACTAGCCTAACTTTTTTAAGAAATGAATGTATTATTTTCTAATAGTTTTCGATAGCTAGGCATAGGTCAATTACCTTCAAATTGGCCATATTTCACACATTAGGAACTTGATTTAGTTTTCATTAAATTACTTCCTTTATCTTTTCATCTATAACCGACAAATCTATGTATAAACATATTGGGGCAGTTGGTCAATGGTCTATCACTCATTTATAACTATTTTAAGTGTTCGATAAACGGTTTTTTGATTTGGTTGCTTGCTACCAAAAAGCCAAAATCAAAAAGACGCTCTGAGTAGTTTTTTCACAACGTCCTTTTGATATTACGGAGTAAGAAGTATAATTTAAAAAGAATATTACCCGAAAATAAAACTAAAAAGGTTTGAAAATTCCAAAATAGGATTGTCATGTTTTTATTCCTAAAATAGGACTAATTATTGACATTTTTGGCAGTACCAGACTTCAAACATGACAATATTTTCAAAACTTAGTAGTAATTACTCCTATTTTGGGAATAAAAAACATGAAGTCTTATTTTGGAATTTTCAAACTGTTTTAGTTCTATTTCGGGAACTTTCCCGCTTGCCTAGTATTGTCTCCAACTTCGGCCCATTCCTTATTTCATAATTATTCAAAAAATGAAATTACATGGAAATAGTTACGAGAATGTAAGAACACTGAATCGGAAATATCATCATGAATATTACCAAACATTAATTTTACTTCAACCTTGTAATGATAGCAGCTGATCAAAACAGCTAACAGAATTCGATTATATAAATTCACTAATAGATTCGATTATAATGCTTCTGCATTGTCAAATATTATATATATCTTGACTTTGGGATGTTTTACCGAAATACGGGAAAAGGGGGTTGGGGTTGCCAAAATACGGGGACTTTTCTAGGGTTTACCAAAATATGGGAGTCGGAATACCCAGTTCCGACTAGGGATAAGGTTTCTGAAAACACAACTCTGCCTCCTGTCGGATTAGGGACTTCCGACTAGGAGGTTTTTTTATTTTTTTGTTGCGCCATTCTTAATTTAGGACACTAAATTGTCGGATTTAGTTTTTTTTGTTTGTTTTTTATGTCGGATTAGGGACTTCCGATTAGGGACCTCTCCTCAATTTTTTTAATTTTCTTTTTGAGTTTTAAAAACTAAAAGTTTTAAATGCTAGGGCTAAATTTTATCCATTCCAAATTTAAAAGTTTTTTTAGATTTCTAGCATATATTTTAGAATGAAAACTTACCATTTTGATTTTTTGATTGTTTTATATTGTTTTTTAATCCATTTGTATTGTGAATTTTGTTTTGATTGCAATTTTTGTAATTTTAAGTACGATTTTGATTTAATTCATTCGTCAAGTGAGATACAAATTTGATTTTGTTTTAAGTGCAATTTTTGTAACTTTAATGGAAGTGAACAAAACAAATGTAGTTTTCAATGTAATTTATTAATGAATAGACAGTACATACAATATTAAATTTAATACTACATCTAACGTTGCGTGCTCGGCCCTGCTCCGTCCCCACCGCGAGTGTTCCTAGGCCTCGTTGTGTCTCCATAGTAAAATGACGAATCCAAAAATGAATCAACATAATCACCCGCTTGTGTTGAGTACTGATAAGAATCATAATACGGCGGTGGTTCATCAAATGAGACAGCTTGATGTGTTGAGAATTGAGGGGGTGGTTGATCAAATGAGATACCCTGACGTGTTGAGAATTGAGGAGGCGATTGTGAGTGCTCACCCCCACCTTCATGTTCATCTGCATCATCCTCTTCGTCACTTCCACCTTCATCTTCATCTTCATAATGGAATATGCCCCGACGGAGCATCTCTTCATCACCTACGTCCAGGGCCATCCGCTGTAGTCGTTTTTGACAGTCCTCATGACTCGCGCGGTCGGCTAAGAGCTGATTCAGCTCGTAAAAGCCTTGCTTCTGCATAAAAATGTAACACGTGTAAATAATATGACATGATATATGTTAATGAATATAGTATGTATTCAAAAACTTACCACAATACCCCAATCGTGTGATGTCGGGATGTAGCCTGTCGTGGGCACATTGTGAGAAGGGTTCTGGACACATGTCGTACCATGCTTCTGGTACCATTTTCGGTAGCTCTTAGTTGCTTCGACAGACATATGTCGATCATAATCAAGAAAGTATATATTATGTTGTATGTCCGCCCACAACGCCAAGACACCGGTTACTATGTTGGAACGATTGTCGTGATGATCAGTACCCGCCAAAGGAGCATCCGGAGTATCTTGCCTTATATGGAATTGCCGAAGAAATCGATCGGGGTAATGCATTTCGGCCATATTGCAAAATATGAGCATGACCCTAGCCGACCAAAGCGGAGCGTCATGAAGGATGATAGGTGGGAGTTCCTCGGACGCGTAGGGAGTGAAATCAAACTGTAAAAATTTTAATTTGCAATTTAACCGCTATAAAACAATGTGTATTAAAAATTGAATAGTACGGTGGAAGTAAAAATTTCAAGTACTACCTGACTCTCACTCATGCGGTCGAGGTCATCCCGGTACAGGCATATGCAGTGTCTTGGGGATCCCTTATATGACTTGGGGACGATCCACCTACATTTATTTATTACCGAAATGAATTTAAAAAATCTAACGTCATATAACGCATTCTCAATTATTAAGATGTAATTGCCAACATACCTGCACCCATATGGAAGATGGTCATGTTGAATGACCTGAAGTACTGAGGGTCGGACCATCGAAATCCTCGACCAAGCCCAAATCTGTAACAAGTGCATACAACCGCCAACTTGTTTGGTTTCCCACTTGGCACCGTTGCACAAGTTAACAGGCCCTGGGCGCGGAATGTTTTGGTCCATTGGAAATTCCTAAAATAAGTAGTTATAAATTACTAAATTCGAAATTGAACACAAATTCTAAATGTAACACAATTTTTAAATTTGTAGATCTTTATAGCTAAATTGAACTCTAAAATTCTAATTTCACAACCTAACACAAAAATTTTAAAAATTACTAAAATAACAACTTGTAAGGTCATAAAATCGATTTTTAACTCAAATTCTAAATGTAACACAATTTTTAAATTTCTAGATTTTTATAGCTAAGTACAACTCTAAACTTCCGATTTCACAATGTAGAGTAAAATTCTAAATTCACAATCTAAATTAAAATCTTAAAAGTTACCAAAATAACTAGTAATTTTGAAATTCGAAATAACTATAATTGCGAAATTAAAATCTTAAATTCGACTATTTAAATTTAACGCAATTTCTAAACATCTACAATTTCAACTATTATAAATAATAAAAAGTTAAAATTAAAGAGTAAAATTCGAATTTCACAATGTAAATTAAAAAATTTACAAATTACTAAATTAACTACTTCTACACTCCTAAAACCGAAATTTAAGGGAAATTCTAAATGTTACACACTTTCTAACTTTCAAGTATTTTATAGCTAAATGTTACTCTAAAAGTCCAATTTCACAATCTAAATTAAAAAATTTATAAATTACTAAATTAACTACTTTTACACTTGTAAAACCGAAAATTAACTAACCTGGAAATTTGGCTGATCACAAATGTTTGATTTGCTAGTAGGTGCTCTTGCTTGGGATTGATAGTTGGGATTGAGTAATATAATGATGGAGCAATGAGCGGTAGAATCTATTTATAAAAAAAAATGAGTTGGGAGTTCTGAAAAAGTTGGTATTGAGTAATGATAGTGATCCACGCTTGTTCTTCTTTTACTTGGAACCGTGGGATAGTTCTGATAAAGTTAGGATAGTTTAATTAGTCTAGGTAGGAGTGTATGAGTATTTAATTTTGTGGAGATGGGATATTGAATTTTCGGTCAGAATTTTGTACAGGGTTGGACAGAGCACACGAGATTAAAGCTGATCCGAAAAAAGAATTCTCCCAGTCGGATTTGGCGCTTTTCTCAGGAGTGGGAGTTCCAGCTCTAGCTGGACCGTGGGATAGTGATCCAGGCTATTCTTCTTTTATTTGGAACCGTCAGATAGTCTTTTGTGTTTGTTTACTTTAATTGGAACCGGGCTATTCTTCTTTTAGCTGGACCGTGGGTCAGATTTTATCTGGTTATATTTTATCTGTTATATTTTATCTGATTAATTTTATCTGATGATATTTGTTTGATTATATTTTATTTGATTATATTTTATCAGATTAATTTTATCTGATTATATTTAAGTGATTATATTTATCTGATTAAATTTTATGTGAATCTGAATATGGTTGGATAGAATATCCGAATATGGTTGGACGCTACGTAAACACTCATCTTCTCTACATAATAAGGCAAGTTTTTCTAATTTAAAACTTCAGATACAATGAAAAAGAGAACAAATATTTCATTAGTACAAAAAATCCAACAAGGTATACATTACAATATTACTCATGTCCTCTCCTTCTAGCACGCAAATCCATTTCATTAGGAAATCGAGTTCTCTGTGGCCTACCGGCTCTAGCTGATCTATTGTTTGTGGGTGGGAGAAGTGTATGCGATGTTTCTGCCATGAAATTGAGGTAATTGTTAATAGGCATAATATCGGAAGCGTACGTTCGGATGTAAGCATTTAAGGAATACACAGCTGGGATGAGGCCGTCTATGGTTATTTTTAAAAACCGACAAACCGCATACGCGTGAACACATGGCATCCCGTTCTGCTTCCAATACTCACACCCACATTCCTGCCTTGTCAGATCGATTGTCACTGGATCATGCGAACCAATAGCTACAGAGTAAATTCCCGTTGTTCGATTGTGCGGGACAATAGTTGTGTGATACCTACGCTGTGACCGCTCAAGAACATCCTTCCATATGTTCTGTGGATACAAGAATCCAGCTTGGTGCCACATTATTCCCGCATTTCGTCGATCGGCAAATAGTTGGACGACTTTATCGAATGTGGCCTTTACTAGTGCTGTGATAGACAATGTACGGCATCCCTTTAAGACATTGTTAAAATTTTCAGAAAGGTTTGTCGTCAAAATGCCATATCTTTTGCCATCGTCATAGCTCAGGGCCCACATCTCAACAGGAATCTCATTCAAATATAGAAAAGCACTCTCATTTATGCCTCGTATTTATTCCATACAGTCGTGAAATTCCTGTTCTGTGGGAGTGCTACCAGCTTGCCAACATAATTTTTTCAGTTCCGCGTTCCTAAACTTGGTCATGAAATTACTCCGTATGTGACGGAGGCAATAACGCTTTGAAACTTGTGGTGATCTCAACTCTGGCAAGGCTCTAAATGCACTTTCAATTCCTGCATGACGATCAGAGATAATGCACACACTACGGTGATTTCTAACCACATCACGCATAACCCTTGCAAAGAACCACGACCAGCTGTCAGCATTCTCACTCTCAACAATAGCATATGCAAGAGGAAATATCTCACGGTTAGCATTCATGGCTACCGCAACTAGAAGAACCCCCTTGTATTTGCCATATAAGTGAGTGCCATCAACCGAGACTACGGGTAAGCAAAATCTAAAACCGTCTATAGAAGCTTTGAATGACCAGAACACTCGACGGAATTCAGACGTATCAGGAGTGCCGGCCTGTTGTGATTGCAAATGAACAACAGTCCCCGGATTTGAAAACTGTATAGCTTCCAACAACATAGGAAGTTCATTATATGACGCCTCCCAATTGCCGAATTTACACTCCAGAGCGATCAAGCGTCCATTCCAAGCTTTTTTATATGAAACACGGATATTAAATTTTTCATATATGTCTGACATTATCAGTTTTATGCTGTAGTCCGGGTCGACTTTCACTTTTGGAGCGATTTCACTGGCTATAATTTTGGCCGTTAGGAGCCTGTCATCCCGAGCCATGACAGGATCCTCCCTACAACTGTGATGGGGTTGATATTTTTTTACTTTCCATTTTTTTGACGTCATACCTTCTCCTGCTTGGATATGCCAAGTGCAAAGGGTCGGGTCTATGCAAACCACCTTCCAGGACCGTGACCTTTTGTCATCCGTTCTGAATTGACGAAATTGACGAATGTTTTATCTCGCCACCGCTTCTTATAGTGCATCATATGAACAATAAACTGCGCCTACTTCGATCCTTTCAGGCTCAGAATCTACTGCTTGAACATATGTTTCTTCTAGCTCCACATTAGCCCAGGTAGGGATGGCAACGGGGCGGATCGGGGACGGTTTTACATATAACCGTACCCGCCCCGTTTGGTAATTCCCTCGCCCCATAACCGCCCCATTACCCAACGGGTAATTTTTACCCAAACCATAACCGCCCCAACGGGTAACGGGTATAACCGTGGGTAACCGCGGGTAATCACTTTTTTAAATGTGTCATTGGTATTTTAATATAAAAATAATGTTTTAAAGGGCAAAAAATGGCATCACCTAGACGACTCTAGACTCAAACGCGGTTCCGTTAGATTGTGATGCCTGCGGTTATTTCATTTATTTGAACCGTTGATAGAATGTGTTTCTTTACTGTAATTAGGTAGAAGTATTGAATTTGTGCAGATGGGACGGACAGATAAAAAATTGAATTCTATCTGTGTGAGATTGAATTTGTGTCACTTTATTTTTGTCAAATTGAATTTGTGTCATTTTATTTTTGTACAGAACAGAATATTGAATGATTAAATTATATCTTATGATAGTTATCTTATTATATATCCTGGGTCGTGGATGAATCCACATCACTTTAAAGTTTCACATATCTACAAGACGAGAAAAAAGACAAGACTATTAAGATCTATTATGAACTTTCGTTCGTACACTAGAGTTAGTACATTTGTCATTGATATATACACAATGAAAATGGGACAACTAATAGATGAGAATGTAATAAAAATATAACTAAAAATAAACGGGGCGGGTACGGGGCAGGTAATGGGGCGGACATGTATAAAACCGTAACCGCCCCATTACCCGTAAAAACAAAACGGGTATTCCCCGCCCCATACCCGTTACCCGGTCAATGCGGTTTTCCCCGGTTTGACCGGGGCGGTTCGGTGCGGGTATCCACCAGATCGGTCACAATTGCCATCATATTGCCAGATCGGTTCCGTTAGATTGTGATGCCTGCGGTTATTTCATTTATTTGAACCGTTGATAGAATGTGTTTCTTTACTGTAATTAGGTAGAAGTATTGAATTTGTGCAGATGGGACGGACAGATAAAAAATTGAATTCTATCTGTGTGAGATTGAATTTGTGTCACTTTATTTTTGTCAAATTGAATTTGTGTCATTTTATTTTTGTACAGAACAGAATATTGAATGATTAAATTATATCTTATGATAGTTATCTTATTATATATCCTGGGTCGTGGATGAATCCACATCACTTCTAAAACCTTGTTCATAGTCTGGATCGTCCGACTTTTCACCCAAGTTTGTGACTGTACAAACTAGATACATTCATAAATTTCAATATTATTATCTGGGACAAATTATTAATTTAACACAATTCTTGAATTTCTAGAGTTGAACACATGTCCTTGTAACACACTATCCAAAATAAAATAAAATTATGGTTTGAATTTTTTGGTTTTAATTTATCCGATATATAAAAATTTTAAGTTTATTTGAATCATAAAAACTTTTTGTGCTCTGGTCGGATTTGGGTGTTCCGACAGGAGATAAAATTTTAAAATTTTTTAAAATTCCACTTCCACTTCCGGTTATTTCATTTATTTGAACTAGAATGTGTTTCTTGTGTAATTAGGTAGAAGTATTGAATTTGTGCAGATGTGACGGACAGATAAAAAATTGAATTCTATCTCACTTTTTTTATATAAAATTTTATTATAGTTATTGGATAAAATTTTATCTGATTAAATTTATCGGATTATATTTATTTGATTAAATTTGATTTTATTGAACTTATCTGATTAAATTTTTTCTGATTAAATTTACGACTGTACATAATTAGACTCTTCATCCGACTCTTCATCTG